TCTGACTGTGACTAACTGGATGTGCTCTCTTCATCCTCTGACATGGGAGTTGGCTCGTAGCTCTTCTGCTTCTGCCTGGCTGTGTGTTTCCTGGACGGGGCCGCCTGTGGAGCAAGTTCCTTTGTATCTCTGATTCTTTTTCTGTCTTCTTCTGTCTCCTTGAACCCAAGTTGACCTCAGCAGATGGCCGCTCACAATGAGTCTGCTTCTGCTGCAGGTTTCTTTCTGTTAAAAGGGAGTTTTTCCTCTCCACTGTCGCTACAAGCATGCTTAGTGTGAGGGATAGCTGAAGAGTCAATGAGTCGATGCAATCAGCTGGTTTTCCTTACATAGAAAACTTTGAACCAATCTGACTGGATGATCTGGTGAACTGGAAAGTGCCTTGAGACAACATGTGTTGTGAATTGTGGAGCGCATGTCTTCAAGATGGATTCTTGCAGCGGTTGTTTGGTCTCTCACTCAGAGGAGACATTGGAGCAGAATAACCAGAAGTTGATTAAAACACTTTCAGGTCAGCCAATGAGTCTCTTCTCAGCCTTGGTGATTGAATCAGACATTTCTTTACAGGTAGTAGGCTCCTTTAAAGGACTGTGTTGGTGTGTTTAACACCTAAAGCCCATCCTGCAGTTAATTAGCCACCTGAAACAATAAACACGGACATACGGAAGGAGGACAGCGTTCTACAAAGCGCCCACAATCACTGTGGTAATCATGCTTTTGTCAGGGTGTATGTGAAGGAATGTTTTAGCCAAAGCCACAAATATGAAAGCAATTTGTCAGACACTCAGCCAAACTCTGAAATGTTCTAGCACTTTTATAGCCCGCTGACCTGTAGGTTGATGCTGCATAAAGGCTCATGCAATATTGATACCAGGACCAAACCAGTGGTTATGTTCAGGTTTGGAGGCTCATCTATTATTTTTATCATCGTGTAAATAAAACACAGCGACTGCCAGAGCAAATGTTAACATCATGTTCTTCAGTCTGAGCAACCCCAAGGTAACATTAGTGCAAACATGGAGTATGAGGTCTAACCAGGCCAACAGCAGGGAAATGAGGAAAAGGCAACCTTCCTACTGTGAACTCATCCAGTTAGTTTGTTCTCTGATGAACTTTTCATCTAAGCAGAAACTATTTTTGTTTTTTTCTCCTCCTCAACCATTATTTCTCATAATCAAAGGCGGCGCTTCTGCTCCTACCGATACTGTGGAGCTCAGGATATCTTAACATCACATATGTCAATTCTAGTCATATCTCGGGATTCCCTGAAGTTACAGCAAAAACCATTCAAAATGGCCCCTCCGAGATAAACGCCAGCTGAATGGCAGCCCACTTCACCCTTTTACTGAATTACAGGGTCTGACCAGGAGATGATGCTTCTCTTTAAATCTTAATGTCCACAAATCATGACAGAAAGAATATTTTAGTACAATGTTACAAGGTTAATGTTTAAAAAGCCCCCCCACCCCCAATCCAAAGGGTTGGACCCGTTAGTCTGTTTCTATTTGCATGTTTTCAAAGAAAAAAAAGGCTTTGTTGGGCTACTGTATAAAACCTAAAAACTCAACGTGCTGTTCAGAATGACTAAAATTTAACACTATTCCTGACATTTTGAATTGAAAAAGCTTCCTGGATGGGAATCGATCGAAACGTCTTCATACTTGTTTTAACTTTTTTGGGATGTTTAAAAAGGCATTGAAGGTGGACCAGCCGAGGACTAACCAAGGGCCAACCAAGGACCAGCTGGGGACCAACCAAGGGCCAGCCAAGAAGGACCAGCCGAGGACCAACCAAGGGCCAGCCAAGTACTAGCCAAGGACCAACCAAGGGCCAGCCAAGAAGGACCAGCCGAGGGCCAACCAAGGGCCAGCCAAGGACCAACCAAGGGCCAGCCGCGGACCAGCCGCGGACCGACCAAGGGCCAGCAAAGGACCAGCAAAGGACCAGCCAAGGGCCGGCCAAGGACCAGCCAAGGACCAACCAAGGGACAGCCAAGGACCAACCAAGGACCAGCCAAGGGCCAAACAAGGACCAACCAAAGGCCAACCAAGGACCAACCAAGGGCCAGCAAAGGACCAACCAAGGGCCAGCCAAGGACCAACCAAGGGCCAACCAAGGGCCAGCCAAGGACCAGCCAAGAAGGGCCAGGCAAGGGCCAGGCAAGGACCAACCAAGGGCCAGCCAAGGACCAGCCAAGTACCAACCAAGGACCAGCCAAGTACCAACCAAGGGCCAGCCAAGGACCAACCAAGGGCCCATCAGAAAGTTGGGAAATTTTAAATGGCCCCAATGTAAAGTCCCTATTTATAATCCTTCAATCTATAAATCTCTAAAATTTGTTACAGACTTTGTGTCAGCGGTTTAACCTCCCAGACTTTTCAGCTCATACAGATTAGATCTACTCTGCAGAACCAAACGTAGAAGAGCAGCTTTAGGTTCTTCTGCTCCAGTAATCTTAAATAAACACCCGAAAAACTGTAAAAGCTTTAAAACTGTCTGTTTCTATGAAACCAGAATAAAACATATTTGTTTTATCTGTGACCTTGACTGCCATCTAAACCTGGTAACTAAAGTTTGTAGTCCAACTTTGATTTCTTTTTGCTCATCAATCATTAATTTTGTTTTTGTTTTGTTTTTAATAATCATCAATTATTTATGTTCATGAATTATTTCATTACTTTTATCCCAGGGCAGTTTGCCGATCATGCTTCCTTTTTCTAAGTACAGAACTTTGAAGGGTCTTTCCACCTAAATGTGCTGCACGTAATCTAACCGTTCCTAAGTATAAAGTCCTGCTTTAGGAATTCTGTTATTTTAGTACCAAAGGTAAGCAGTGTTCTGTCAGGTGAGCATACCCATAGTCAATAAACATTTATCCCTTTAGTTTTGTACAAACAATGAGCGTGTATCCCTTTAGTCACGTACAAAAACAAACATTCAATGGCTTACTTTTTGGTGTTTTTTGAAGCGTAAGCAAAGCTAAGAGATCTGACCTTAAATTGTTTTGGTTTTTTTGTACATGATTAAAGGGATAAACGCCTGTTGAGGTAGTTTAACGTCTATTTTTACTATTTTTCCTACAAAACTAAAGGGATAAACCAAGGGTGTAGCTTTGTAATGAAAGTTGGTGGGGGCGCTATAAGGGTGGGGGCTGATGGACCTACAGTTACTCCACCCAAACGCTTTCATTGGGTTTTTGTATTTTCTTAAAATAAGCTCCAACATCTATTTATTGAATGCTTTCCTATTGTTGAGAACACAAGAGAACCATAATGCACTGATATTATATTTATAGATACTTAGAGAGATTACTTTCAGCACATTAAATATATAGGGCCAAAAAAAATGTATGTCTCAAAAAATATCGTATAACAGCCAATTCTGATGCCAAAATCGATATATCATGCATCCCTAGAATTTTCAATTTTTCAGCTCCATCCATCCAGCCAGAAAAATATGGATATGCTGCATTTAAAATATAGAATTGTACATTTTTTTCCTTGTAAACGTTCTTGTAAACTTGGAGATATTTATTTTATTTCATGTTGCACATCACAGTAAATCTGTTTCACCTTTAAATCTGCAGCTCTCCCTTCTTCTCTCTGTGCTCTGTTTAAAAAGATTTATGAACCTATTTACTAACATAATGATGCCAGAAACAACATTTCAAGATAAATGAATGTTTTACAGTCTGATTCTATCTGACCAATAAGAAAATGTGTTAATTTTAACCTGTAACTGGGAGTCATGGTCCTCTGAAAATCTAAGCTTTTTTAACTAGTAAAGAACAAACTATGTTATATCAAGCTTCTTGCATTATATTACCAACCTGTATAAACTTACAATCTGTTGCCATTTGCTGAAAAGATTTTTCAGCTGTATGAATTTTTTTAACCAACCCGTCTCCTAACTTTTACTTATACATCAAAGTAGCTGCTGGTTAATATTCACTGAGTGCTGCTGTGTGTCTCTCCTCCTCCACATAGCTACTCTGTACATCAGTGAAATGCGACCGCAAATCAGATGTCTCAAAGCGACAGATCCGATAACGTCACACCGAGAGGCGGGACACGAAAGCACCGTGAGAGAGGAAAAAACTCTGAACAAGATAGCTGCACCCAACCTCTGTTACCTGGGGCTAAAAAAAATGAGCGGAAAGGGGAAAAAATGCTGAAATTCTTGGTGGGGACTGACCCTCCATGCCAAAGTTGGTGGACTTATGTCCTACCAGTCCTTCAGAACGTTACACCTGTAAGATAAAAACAAATCTGACATCTTGTGCGTGCCTATGACTATGGGTATGCTGGTCTGACAGAACATCGGCTTCCCAAAGGTATAGTTTTCTCTCTTTAGAACAACCTTTCCTAAACTCTTTCAGATCATAAACACATTGTTTTTTTGTGATTTTTTTTTTTTTTTGCCCTCCTGTGGCTCAACCAGGTTCTGGCCTCTGAACTCTACCAACCTCTTTGGCTAATGGGGAGAACAGCCATGTTTTTGTTAGGTCCTGGGTTCTATTCCCATGTTGTTCAATGTGCTGCCGGTCCCAAACCTCCAACAAAACATTTGGAAGATGCTGAAAAAGTCTTTAAAAATCTGAACCAGCAACATCTGTGCTATATTGGTACATGGTGGGGCAGCTGTGGTAGCTGTTTCTCATGTGAACAGACACATTCCTCCTAACACATGCTGATCTGCCTCTGAGCAAGGCATTTAACTAGAGGTTGCCTACCTATCCGTGTATGTATGTGGAGTTAAAGTTGCTGTAAGTTCTCAGTTATCAAAATGAGAAGAGAATGCCAGTTTTCTGCAGACTGTGATGCAGAAATCTGGATGTTGCATCGTCACTGTTAAGCTTCAACACATTGCAGAAAAAACAAAATTGGTTTGAGTGAAAGACAGACAAGGCAGATTCCTGCCTGAGTCCAATTAAAACTGAGGCCAACCCACTCGAGAATAAAACAAGAGCAGAACCTGGAGCCGTGCGCGCTGACAAGTCCATTAACACTGGGCCAAAATGCAAATACTCAGCAGCAGCTTTCACTGCGGCTGCACAGTCGGTCCTCATCGCTACAAGGACAAAACAATAAGCAGACGCTGCATGGCTGCCGCCTGTCATTAAATTAGCAGAGGATCATGCGGTGTTGGCTAACGTGCTGCCAACTAGTCTTACATTCAGGCAAAAAACAAGCAGATAGACACTGACTGATGGACAGCAGCATAAAATCAACACGATTTTACTTAAAAACACAAATTCCAAGTGAACAACCACATTTTTAAACATTTGGCAAAAAAGCAAATGAAAATCAGTTTATTTTACAATAAATACAATAAAGGAGAAGAATTTGCTGCAACAACGGAAATATAAGTCAAGTTTATTTTTCTTGAAATACAGGTTGTATCTGGTGTTTGTCACAACGCGCTATTATCCAAGTCATCTTGAAAACATTCTTCTTCCAAATGTTGGCTACATATTACGTGTTTTTTCTCTGGCCAGAAGTTCGATGGCAAATCCTCCCTCTTCAAGTTGGCGATCCAACGACCAACCCGTCCGTGGAGGATCAGGAATCAGAAAGGTGGAATAACTCTTTTTTTCCGCTTTTACCCGATGTATTCCAACATCCAGCTGCCATGCACGTGGGCATTGTCAGTTTCACTATAGCTCTGGTGAATTTCAATGGTGAAGTCCTCTGGAAATCTTCAATAATTGTTGTTGATTGCAGATGTGTCTAGTAGTTCCCATTGATTTTGCTTGTAAAGCGGGGAGAATGGCGCTAGGCTTACCGCACCGTGACGTCACTGCTGGAAGATGGCAGGAGGGAGTGGTTACTATATTTGGGCAAAAATGGCCGCTCCCAGACTCAGTGATCGCCACTAAAATTATTTTGTTAATTTTTTTATTGATTAACGCTAAATTCAACAAATCACTTCAAACTTATTAGTTTCATCTATAAATAATGATCCATTGATTATTCCTTGCTGACCACACTTCTCCTTTAAAGTGTATTAGATAAAATATTTTGTTATGGAGGGAAGTTTGTTCCCTTATATTTGCTAAGAGCATGTTTTGTTATCAAAGAAAACAGTCAATCTAGAAAAGAAACTACATGTCTGATATCTGATTACTTTTTTTTCCAGATTTTTATTTTTCAGATTAAATTTGACAAATTATAATTTTTTTTTTTTTCAAACTCCATCTGATCTCATTCTCTTTACTTCTGGCCAAATCCAAACTTTTGATGTTGACCAATAAAACTACTAAAGGCTAGATGAAGATCATTTTGAAAATTCTAAAATGGATATATAAATATCGGAAATTTTAAAATCTGAGAAAATGTAAACGTTAACCTCAAAACCTTTTTTTTATATTAAGAAGTTTTTCAAAGTTTCTCCAAAAAATTACTCCAAAGTCCACTAGACTTTGTTTCCAGTTTAAAGACGTTTCTCTTCCATCCAGGAAGCTTTTTCAATTCAAAATGTCAGAAATAGTGTTGAGTTCCAGGTTTTATCCAGTAGCCCAACAAAGCCTTGTTTTAGTTTAGAAACATGCAAACTGAAACAGATGAACGGGTCCAACCCTTTGGAATGGGGGTCGTTTGGCTTCTTTTGTTAGCCCCATACCTGTCTATGTCTCTGAAAGGGGGGTCTTTAAAGGGAATTGTTGGCCTGGCTGAACAGGCGAGGTCTTCTGTTCTACCTGTAAAGGGGTTGGGGCTGCGATGATAGCGGGAAGGAATCAACTCCATCGATGTATTGTAGGTTTTAGAAAGCTGAAACCTGAGTCCCCCCCCCCCTCATGACTATTAACCTGGATGACTGAGAATCTTCACCAGCATTTTTAAAGTTACTTTTTTGAACTGCCTTTATTTTTTCAAACTTTATTTTTCACTCCGAATCTTATTTTAAGGATATAAATGCTGATTCCATTGGCAGATTATCATCTATCCGCTCAAATTAAAGGAATAGTACACCCAAAACATGATTAGCCTTCATTTTCTACTCACCCCCATGCTGAACAACATTCTGTAGTACTTTTTTGATATCTCAAATGCATCTGGAGATTTGGGAGGCTTCTTGCTGTCTGCTGACATTCAAATAATGGAGGTCTATGGCGCCCGAGGCAGAAAGGTCCATAAAAGTCCACAAAAAACGTGTCAATATTCCTCCATACTGCTCGTCCAATGTATTCCAAGTGTCCTGAGTGGGTAGCATCCAGAATTTACTCGAAACGAAGTCATTTAGAATGTTTTTAGAGCATAAACAGTAGTGTATAGGATTTCCTGAAAGCGTTCACGACTCTACGGAAACCGCGGCAGACCAAACCAGATGAAAGTGCGCATTCAGGTCGGCAAAGAACTCATGCTCTTCCTCAACACTGAAGTCCTCAGACATTTTTCTTTCGTTGTTTCTTTCTTTGCACAGGTAAACAGCACATTTCTTCTTCTACGCTTGCATTATCGGCAGAGCAGACGCTGAATGCGCACTTTCATCTGGTTTGGTCTGCTGGCTTCCGTAGCGTCGTGAACGCGCAGGTGCGCGCTTTCAGGAAATCCTATACACTACTGTTTATGCTCTAAAAAATATTCTAAATGACTTTGTTTCGAGTAAATTCTGGACGCTACCCACTCAGGACACTTGGAATACATTGGACGAGCAGTATGGAGGAATATTGACACGTTTTTTGTGGACTTTTATGGACCTTTCTGCCTCGGGCGCCATAGACCTCCATTATTTGAATGTCAGCAGACAGCAAGAAGCCTCCCAGATCTCCAGATGCATTTGAGATATCAAAAAAGTACTCCAGAGTGTTGTTCAGCATGGGGGTGAGTAGAAAATGAAGGCTAATCATGTTTTGGGTGTACTATTCCTTTAAGGACTTGTCTTAAGAATATTTTATCTTTGGATCAGTTTTTACAGTGTAGATAATCTGACAGTAAAGACCGTACCGGGGGAGTTTTGAAGATATAGAAATATGGTCCTCTCAGTGCCAGGAACCTGAAGACTGAACTCCGACATGTGGTGCTGCCGTCTGGAGTTTCACATGTCCAGCCCATGTGAATAATCTGCAGAAAATACATGTGAAAAATGTTACTTCATCAAATATAAACACACAATGTTAAGAAAACAAACCGAGCCAGACGTCATAATCAGACAGGAACTACTGATGAAGCAGCTTTGAGGTGATTAGAAAGAATCAGGTTTAGTTGATGTAGCCTTGCAGGGACAGAGGAGCATCAGGTCAGAGTTTCCATTGTTTTTCTGAAGTGCATCACGTTTAACAGGCTGACTGACTGATCTCCATCTCTCTCACTCACAGCATTCAGAAAACAAAATAACAGCTGCTGCAGGATCGACATGTTTTCCTCCAATACTCGGTGCAGTGTGCAAAACTAAAGCAACAGATAAGTCGACTCATTATGTCTGCAACAGTTTATATGGAGTAAATTTTGTTCCATTATTATTGGATAATAAGAATAATTGATCTTTATTGATCTAACACTGGAGAAATTACCCTGTGTATTTGACCCATCCCCTTAGAGAGCAGTGGGCTGCCATTGTGCGGCGCCCGGGGAGCAGTGTTGGGTAAATGAGCACCTTGATATGTGCTTGAGAATGGCTTAGTCTCCATTCAAACCCAGGTTTAAAGCCTTGCAGGGCAGCCTAAAGCCCACTGCCAACATTAAGACAGAAAAAAGAAAAAACAATTGTACAATTGTCGTTCTCTACTACTAAAATATTTTTTTAAATCGAAAAACTTTCTATTTTTTTCTATTTTATTTTTAAAGATTCTGTGTATAATATAGATGCAAAAAAAAACTCATTTATTTCACTGTTAAATTGTGTTTAAAGTAACATCTTACAATTTAAAATGTCCCAAGACCTTCAGTAGCTGCTGATTTTCTTTATTCAGACCCTGCTGGTTTTTAATTGGTTACCCCTGAACTAAACTGAATTGTACAACGATATCATTGAAGTTATTGTAGGTTATATTCTATTATTTCATATCTATGTTTAAATTGAAAATATCTTTGATATTTTTTAGATACAGCCAATAAATAATGTAAAGACATAAAATTTAAGGGAAAATGTGATTGTGGATGCTTTGTGAACTAGGATTTTAAATCATAATTTTAAAACAATAAGTACAGTAAAAACAGGAAATAAAATAAGAGTTGAAATTAACTTTAATTCAGGTAAGTTGAGTGATAACTGAGAGGGAAGCGATGACACAACGAGAAAATTAAAATAAAAATGCAACAGTTTCTATTCCTTTTAGGCTCCAAAATTCTTCATCATTTTAATAATAAACCGCAAAAGATGAGACATTTTTTTAGCAGATGCATCATGTTGACAGATATTTTTTTAAACACAGTTTAGTGAGTCAGTCAGTTAGAAACCACTCCTGGATCGGTCACATAAGTAGCGGCATTTTGTAACTATATAAAGTGAAAAGTTTTGAGCAGGAAAAAAAAGTTAAAGTATATGTTTTGTTAAAGGTTTAGACTAATTAGTTACTAACCACCATCTGTTTACTATTTCTGTATCAAGTATTAAATTAATAAACTTTATAATCTAAATATAAAATAATGTAGAAATATAAAAAAGTGCTTGGTTTCTGATTTCAGCCCAAGTGGTAAGCAGTGATCTGATTGGATAGCCCCGCTTGGCCTTCATCCAATCAGATTCACATTAAGAGGATAACTTCATGGTGGCTTACCTGGTCCTCTGAAGAGCAGGAACTGTTCAACATTTTTATCTGCAACAGAAAACACAAAGAGACACGTCCAGTTATGAAAGTGTTTGAAATATAAGATATCAGGATCACTGAAATGTTCAGTGATTGAAATCTGGTTTAAACACAAGGTTATTAAACTGTTGAAGATTAATTTCTGTTTATTTTCCATTTTAAATAACTGCTACATCTGTTCATTTCTATATTTGTTCACTTTCTGTGTGGGTCAGCCAAAATAGATATTGTTATGTTGACTTTCGTGTGCCTGGTGTGTTTCTACTATGTGCTGCACTGTAGTCGACCAAAATCACGGATGATTTTGAAATTCCCCCCGGATGTTTTTTAAGGTCTGAAAATTAGGACATGTCCGAAAAAAGAGGACTTCTGGTCCCCCTACCATATCAACAATCTGATGTTTCAGTGAGTGAGTGCTTGTTGCTATGATGCGTCTTTGTTCAGCGGCTCGGCTCGTTGTAAACCAACCAATCAGAGCACAGCTCATCTAAATATTCATGATCATACCATAAAAGGAAGAAAACCTGTCGTTTCATTCTAAAACTTTTAACCAGGCTGCATTAGGGCTCATAGCACAGCAAACCTGCCATTTTCAGCCCAACCAATGTTACACAGCCTATTCAGAGACCTTAAGGACCAGATACCCTATAGAATCATTCTATCACCCATTTAAATGTGAACAACTGCTTGTCCTGCCTTGTTTTGACAGTTCCAAATTCATTTCAAGTTTTTTTTTTATTACTGGATTTGATTAGTCAAAGGAACACATTGAGTGCTTGTTTATTTCTATTTTTGCTGTACACAGGAAACATTATCTACAAATAAGTACAAATTTCTTAAATTAAGCGCATTTACCCTTAATTTGAGCAGGTAAATGAGATAGTTTGCGAATGGAATGAGCATTTTTACTCATTAGATAATATGCGCTTGAAATAAGACAATGCAGTGAAAAGTGTACATTTTCTTGTTCCACTGTCAAAATGTCTCTTTTACCTCCTCAATCCAAGAACAAATGCACTTATTTTAAGAAAGAAAATCACTTATCTACATTTCATAATTTCCTCAGAGTATACTTAATGTATACCCTTTATATATATTCACCCCCCAAATGATAGCTTGCCATCCCTGTTTAAAAAGCTTAGCTCTGACACTGCTCCTTGTTTACCTGAATAATAATAATTATAACAATAAATCTCTTCTTCACCCCAGACAACAGTTCAATCCAAAGTGAGCTGCATTTGCTCTGATTCTCCTCTGATACCAGAGATGGGTTCTGCTTCTGTTATTATGGTTTCACTCTCCGTGATGCTGATCTTCAGATTTCTCCTTTTCACTCGGAAAAGCAACAAACTGCCCAGTTCATTCATGCCAGACTAGAAGCAGCTTCGTTCAGAGTCTCAGCACCAACCAGAGGCTCCATCTAACGGTTGCAGATCCTTAATAACCAGAGTTCTACTTGTTCCCGTAGCAGCGGGACAATTAGATCCTGATTGGCCGTTCAGCAATCATCGTGGCAGTAATTAGGCAATGAAGCCCTGAATTAATCCCCCTTTCTTTAAAATAAGGCAGCTGTGCAGAGAAATACAGTAGACTGCATCCTCACCAAAAACACTTTGCATCATCAGCGCCATAATCAAAGTGAAAAGGAGGAAATGAGGGCGAGGAGAGCACATTTGGAAGGAGCACTTAGCAGTCATTAATTAGAAACGAAGGAGGACTTCTTTCTGTCAGGTGCCACCGGGAATCAAAGTGTGCTCGTCACCCACAGATCCATCAAAGCCTCATTAACGCACCGCAAAAACACACAACAGCAGAGCAGATCCTGCTCTCAATCTTTAACCTCCGGCTGATTTAATACAACAGTAACAGAAGTTTGAAGACGGAGTCTGTGTCACCAGGAGAACTCAGACATAAAGAGTCTAAATCTACTAGAGGTGAACTGCAGTACAGATCAACCAATGCTGGTTTTATTTATTAGCTGGCTGTGTGTTTCCTGGACGAGGCCGCCTGTGGAGCTGGTAGACAGTTACTTT